TATTATATATATATATATATATATATATATATATATATATACATACTATAATAATGTCTCCCTCTACCCAGCAAAAAGTAGCTGAGAATAAACTTTTCCAAAAGAATGCCAAAAGAATGCAGCTGCGACCCATTCGACCCTGAGCCCCAGCCATTTGACTAACATCTTCAGTATTCGTCGTTGTTCACACAATGTTTACTTATTTATGACACGGATGGTGTGGTTTTGTCACTAGACGTCTGACAGATCAATTCATGACCTTTCTCAAAGGAATACCAATTTATTTGCATAAATAATTGAATGCGTCTTGACCCTGATTAAAATAAAGTCGCCTAAAGTTGAAAAAAAAAATGTCTAAGGTCACGCTTTTATTATTGTAATAGATTACAATTGTGGATTTTGGACTAAGTTGTGCATTCACATGTGATCATAATACATGAACATAAAACGATCACAATGGCTTTCATATAAAGTAATGATTCCGTGAAATGCGATTTTGCAGTCTTGCAATCACAAATCTTTTTTGTAAATTAATATTTTAAGAACATAACAAAACACCTATTCTGTTTGTTACCATTCAACCTCATTTTATTTAATTAAGTAAATAATGTATTTATATCTACTTAAAGTATGGCATTAAGAGTGTGTAAAACACTGTGACTTTATTTTAACTATCTGTTCAATCTATTTATTTAAATAGGCGACAAAGAGTTTTTCTTAGAAATTGCCTTTTTTTCTGCATTGTAATTTTTAATTAAAGTCAATGGTTTTGGTCAAAAGCTGACTTTCATTCCAAAATGTGTTCTTTTCCATTCTTTTTTTATTGTCAATCACAAATCTACTACCAAAAAAAAAAAAAAATGTGTTATGTCACGGCTGTTTCGAGACACATGAGCACTAATACAATCTAAATGTTGTCTCCATACTCTCACGTATAATCCGCCTAATTCAAGTAGAGATTGAAAATATGGTTTTTGACATGTATCTAATAACTGTCTGATCTTTTTAGGTCTGTTCACCCAACACTTCCTATGTGTGTCCGGCTGGGTTGATTAAGTTAGAGCGTCAACACAGTTGCAATTACGGTAATAATTCTATACTGGAATAATGTATTTAAACTTTTATTGTGCAAGGATGAAACATTCCATTTACCAAAACTTATTTCACCTCCTCACGATGATTTAAACCGCTTTGACACAGAGCCTGTTTATGGCTTATTTCATTGCATATTGGAAAATTACACCCAATGCCTTACGAAGAAACAAACAATAGCATTACACTTTTATTCACAAGTTCAAGGAGTTTTAAGTACCACACTATAATTCTATGTTTATAATTTATTTTTTATATATGTTTCCTCTTCATAAAACAACTTTGCAAAGCAATTCATTTTTAAAACATTATTCATCGCTAGCACGAAAAAAAAAAAGCATTAATTTATTTTGTAAGATAGCTAGCCTGCTGTTAATTGTTGTGGCTAAGACCTTTTAACTTAGGTTAGTCCTTGTGGACATACAAAACACCATTTAGATGTACATTCACCGACCATATCTGCAAGGTCAATTTTATTTCTTGAAATATTAGCATTCGAGTGCAATGCCTTCTTCTGGGCTAAATTCAAAGAATGTAACTGGAACTCTTGAGCCTGTTTTCATGAGGTGGGGACTGTCCATTTGCTTTCAAGCTTTCTACAGCCTACAAGATAAACGCAACAGCCGGTTGTTGATTCATGAGTTTACTGTATTCGTAACAGGTGCACTGTCAACAGTGTATTTATTAAATAACGGTGGGTAATCTGTGAGATAAACTTTTACGCATCGCAAAGACTGGATTAGGTCTGTATTAGGATTTGTATTTAACAGATGCTCGAGCTATTCTTTGCTGCCCTGTACACTTTTGATGAAGCACCACCTCCTGTGTGCCTGATCCGCCGCCGCTGAACAACTGAGGCCGAAAATTACCCCCGATCATAACAACAGGTCTTTTGCGTTACTTTTTTCTCCTCTGGACAATAGGCGACCTTCGCGCTTTTCACAAGACAGTGATCCCATGACGACGTGCTTACACCGTTAAAGAAAAAACGGAGGTGTGAAAACTTTTTTTTTTTTTTGACAAAAATGTTAAATACAGAGAAAACAGAGTCTGGGCAAGCAGCATGCAACAGCAAACTTTAACTTTGTACTAACCGCCGTTTTCGATGTTTATTATGGAGCTTCTTCAAATGTTCTCTTTAACGGATTACTAGACAGAACCCATGTCGCATTTTTTTTTCCGTGCAAGTCCACTCTATCCGGTTTACTTATTGAGGTAAGCTGCTAAAGCGCAGTCGCAGATTTTCCACAGCTGTGATATAAAGAAAGATTACATTGCTTCGATGTAACTTCGGGATTGCAGTTGAAAGTACAATAACCTTTGCATAACAAAAAACTTTTTTTTTCTTCATCCGCTGCCCGAGGCTCGGCGCATGCGCGCTCTCTGTTTGCTGTCACTAAAACATTTTTCTTAGCAATGGAAGCTGTCACGAGTGACGTCAATCACAGAGCTCTGACCAATTAGAGCGCTCGGTGATTGTTTGGCTCCACGGGCTGCAGCGCCTACCATGAATCTCTATTCAGTATATCAAAGCGTCCTGCTGCTGCCTCTCAACCGAATGGGATTCCACGTAGGCACTGAGATAGCAACTAAACTTTAGGGGAAGTTTAATTTTTTTTTTCTTCTGTATTCTTCAAAGCGATTAAAATATATTTGTCATCATCATTATTATTATTTTGCCTGCTGTCAAGTTATTCTAAAATTAGGAGTAATGAGCGTGGATGCTTTGGGAAGCCCTGTGATGGACCCCGCGTTTTCCAAACGGAACACGACGCTGAGATTAGTTGACTTGGCAGGGGCTCACCACCATCACCATCATCACCACCATACCCCTCAGAGCGTGACAGGCTTCCCGGGGTTCAGCAGCCATCCACACTCAATGGCTCACTCGCACCCTGGGGAGATGACTGCGGAACCCCGCCTGGGGCCGAGTCCATTCGGGCCAGAACACATGGGGCACTCCGCGGCCCTCAAAATCAGCCCAACCCATCATTATCCCCACCACCATCACCACCACAATCATCATATTGCAGGCCACAGTGAAGTGGTCTCCAGTCAAACGGGAGCTTTTGGCCCGGTGCAGGCGGCAACGGTCCCGTACTCTATGTCTCACACGGCCCAGGCGCTATCCGCAGGTAGGGACTTCCTCATTCGCCGAGATTTGACAGCTCAAGCCATGCCCGTGCTGACCGATCAGACTTCTGGTTCAGCCTCTCACCACGGAATGTTTGTCTCAACAACAGGTAGCTATCCGGGACACTATGGTCATCACCCCGACCCTGGGAACCATACGCTCTTCCCTGGACTTCATCACGAGCAGCCATCTACCGGAGCACCAGGTGGCCAAGCCTTGAACGGACAAATAAGGTTAGGAATACCTGCCGAAATGTACGTTCGGTCTGATCATTTGAGTCAAGTAGCGAGCTCCAGGGCAGACCCGTTTGCTGCTTCTTCTCTGCACGGATACGGCGGGCTCAATCTGAACATGAATCTCAGCGCACATCACCACCACGGAGCTGGCGCTTTTTTCCGTTACATGAGGCAGCCGATCAAACAAGAGCTCATCTGCAAGTGGCTGGAGCCAGAACACTCGGCGAAAAAACGTTGCTCCAAAACTTACAGCACCATGCACGAACTAGTGACACATGTGACTGTGGAGCACGTTGGAGGACCGGAGCAAGGGAGCCATATCTGTTTTTGGGAAGAATGTCCACGAGAGGGAAAGCCATTTAAAGCAAAGTACAAACTTGTGAATCACATCAGAGTGCACACCGGAGAGAAACCGTTTCCTTGTCCGTTCCCCGGCTGTGGAAAAGTATTTGCCAGATCGGAAAACTTGAAAATACACAAGAGAACACACACAGGTCAGTGACTTAATTTCTCATCCCTTAGGACAATTCAGTTAAATGCTAGCGGCTCATAACTCTTCAGTTACTATATACAGCAGTGCTGAAGTGTAAACGAATCAATGCACAGCAACTAGTCTATTAATGACGTGAGCTAGCTTGCAAGCTAAATAGAGGCAGAGTTTGTCTAAAAATCCGCTTTTAAGAAGGCTGGCTTTTAAGAGGTTTTATCGAGAGATAATATATGCAGTGGCTTATCTATGATGGAAAGGATTTTCGCTGGCACCATTATCATTATTGTCACTGCTATTTTATGAATTTTAATAGGCAACATGTATTTAGTTTACGCTAATATAATATACTAATATTATTTTTAACAATAAGTCGTGTTTTAAAAAAGAGGGGGGGGTGGGCATAAAGGTTGAGCACTGTGGAGTGTTACTGTTTTTAATTTACTTGCTTTTTCTAAATCATGTATGTTGTAAAAAAATAATGTATTCCTTACTTCATCAGATTACAGTTTTGCAGCACATCCATATGTGTGGGGCCTACTGAGTCCAGTTTAGTGGATTGCAGGAAATAGCAATAATAATAATAATAATCATAATAATAATAAATAAGAGATGAAGAGATAGGGTATTGCTTTATGTTAAAATGCCCAAATTATTTTCCCACAAAAAAAAAATCGTTTATGGGCATCTTCTGTTTATACTACAATTACTATAAGTTGTAAACATTTATAGACACTTTGGAAACTACTATATGCAACTCATTTGCTACACTTTGGGAACCACAAACACTCGTAAGTTCAATTACTCTGTTATCCCTTCTGAACGATCTACAGGGGCATGCTGTAGCATTTTAGATAGGCTAGTGTCTTGTATTGCTTACACTGTAGTTTTTTTTTTCTTTCGTGTGTGTGTGTGTGTGTTCCAGTTAGCCTAGAAAGAAACTGTCCAAAACGACTGTCATTAATTGCACCAAGAGACAATATGTGACTGGACCACAAAACCAGTCTTAAGTCGCTGGGGTATATTTGTAGCAATAGCCAAAAATACATTGTATGGGTCAAAATTATTGATTTTTCTTTTATGCCAAAAATCATTAGGACATTAAGTAAAGATCATGTTACATGAATATATTTTGTATTGTAACTGCTATTTTATGAATTTTAATAGGCAACATGTATTTAGTTTACGCTAATATAATATACTAATATTATTTTTAACAATAAGTCGTGTTTTAAAAAAGAGGGGGGGTGGGCATAAAGGTTGAGCACTGTGGAGTGTTACTGTTTTTAATTTACTTGTTTTTTCTAAATCATGTATGTTGTAAAAAAATAATGTATTCCTTACTTCATCAGATTACAGTTTTGCAGCACATCCATATGTGTGGGGCCTACTGAGTCCAGTTTAGTGGATTGCAGGAAATAGCAATAATAATAATAATAATCATAATAATAATAAATAAGAGATGAAGAGATAGGGTATTGCTTTATGTTAAAATGCCCAAATTATTTTCCCACAAAAAAAAAATCGTTTATGGGCATCTTCTGTTTATACTACAATTACTATAAGTTGTAAACATTTATAGACACTTTGGAAACTACTATATGCAACTCATTTGCTACACTTTGGGAACCACAAACACTCGTAAGTTCAATTACTCTGTTATCCCTTCTGAACGATCTACAGGGGCATGCTGTAGCATTTTAGATAGGCTAGTGTCTTGTATTGCTTACACTGTAGTTTTTTTTTTCTTTCGTGTGTGTGTGTGTGTGTTCCAGTTAGCCTAGAAAGAAACTGTCCAAAACGACTGTCATTAATTGCACCAAGAGACAATATGTTTATAAATTTTTGATTAGTAACATGCATTGCTAAGAACTTCATCTGGACAACTTTAAAGGCCATTTTCTCAATATTTTGATTTTTTGCACCCTCAGATTCCAGATTTTCAAATATTGTCCTATCCTAACAAACCATACATCAATGGAAAGCTTATTTATTCAGCTTTCAGATGGTGTATAAATCTCAATTTCGAAAAATTTACACTTATGACTGGTTTTGTGGTCCAGGGTCACATATGTTGCAGTTATTTCCATATATTTCTGAACTGTAAGAAACTACGCTTACACTGTTGACAAAACCTGCAGATTGACCGCATGCAACAAGTTCTAATCAAACATGACTTCACAGGATAAACTTTATATGTATTACTATATTATGCAACACATTAATACAATGCGTTAGGTTTGTATAGTAATTTCTATTTATTTGAATGCTTTGTGGGCTCTGGAAGATTTTTTTTTTTTTTTTTTCATTGCAAATAGCGTTGGGATAATCAAGTAGGCTGCTTAACGTTTCACTAGTAACTACATCTAAGATAAGAATCATTCAGTTATGATGTCTAAGCAACGCTATGTGTTATTTATCTGGGACATTCCCGGGGGCAGCCGCATTATTTTCTTGCTTGGGCGGTATTTGCATCTTTGGTTATGGATATGGTTTCCCAAGGGTCTCTTCCTTTCTGCTTTCTTGTAGTACACTAATATTGTTGATTGGATTTCTCGGCCCAACAGCTGAAGGTCAAATTGATATTCAGCAAGCAACTGTAATTAGACAACAGCAATTACGCAGTCTTATAAACTCCTGGAGCTTATGTCCTTCGGAAATAAGCGTGATGTGATTAAATGTAATTAATTCAAACATTTATATTGCCTGGCTGCCTTCTCCAGCAGCTATTATGGTTACAGAGGGACAGGCCTAATAGCAGTTTAGATGGTGGATCAGATGTATTTTATGAGATCGTCATGCTCAACATTCCAACGGTAAATGAAACTATGCGAGAGCACACGCTTTAAAGAACGGGTGCGCAATAATCTGTAATTGTGAAAAGAAATCATTGCTGTCTGAGAGTCTCAGTCACAAGGGGCCTGCTATGAGAGCAGACGGAGCAGTAAAAGATAATCACGATATCATGGGGTTCGTGTGACCTGATTTACCCTGTCTGACATGCGTTAGACTAATGCACGGGATATTTGATTATGCGCTCAATGTAATGGTGTGCTTGTACCTGTAGCCTACTGACCATTGTCACAACTGTTTTGTTGTTTCAGGTGAAAAGCCTTTCAAATGCGAGTTTGACGGCTGTGACAGACGGTTCGCCAACAGCAGTGACCGGAAAAAGCATTCCCACGTGCACACTAGCGATAAGCCGTACAACTGCAAAGTCAGAGGTTGTGACAAATCGTACACTCATCCCAGCTCTTTGAGAAAACACATGAAGGTGCACTGCAAGTCCCCACCTCCGAGTTCGGGTTACGAATCATCGACTCCATCTCTTGTTTCTCCTTCATTGGACTTGGGAAGGGAGCCAGCTCCCTCTGCGCTCTCCGAGCCTCTCTCATCATCGTCCCAGCCGGCCAATTTAAGCGAATGGTACGTGTGTCAAAGCTCCGGTGCCAGTGGCCCTCAGACCCCACCCAGCGGTTCATCCACACCGGGCCATACAGAGGGGCCAACGTACGGCAATCCTGAACGGAGGGACGCCTTCTAACAAAAAGTTAGCCCTGTAATATTGTTTTGGCAAAGTGACTAAAATGACTTTGACATCTTATCTTATTTGGACAGTCCGTTTTGGACTGAATGGCCACAGGCTGACGACGCCTGTGTAAGTCAGTTCAAAGAGCAGGCTTGTTCACTATTACTGCCTTACTGAAGGATGCACTGGCCCTTTGACAGCTAATGTCACTGCCTAACCACCAATCCATATAAAACACGTCCCGAGTGTCCATGTTTCTAAATAGTGTACCGACCGTACGCATGTCACTGTATTATTTTGTAAATTCCGCTTTGATTTCAATATCTTTTTTAATTTATTTTTGAATCGGTAAATATTTTTTTTTTGTATTATTGAACCAAAGTGCTTAATTATTAAACATGTACAGTTGTAAATGATGACGTTTTAATGTCTATGTGTGAACAGTAATTTTGTAAGGTTTTGTCTTTCGACAATTTTTAAATGTTTGCTACTATACTTTGTACAAAAACATAATATTTGGGATGATTTGAATTTCATAAAGACGTAGACTCTTTCCTCTCTTTGTGCTTTCACCAGCCAAGCCAATTTGATGGAAACGGTGTTACTGTATTTGATATGAAGGTTAATTTATGATTGGTTATTAATCAATGTGGTTATTTTGTGATTTCGTAAAACTTGTCAGCAATCAATTTTTATGAAAAAAAAAAATAATGATAATTATCAGAAGAGACCTTAAAATGTGTACGTATGATGCTGTGATTATGCAGTGTAAAAATTATTTATTTATTTATTTATTCACAATAAAGTGTAGCCTACATGACATTCTTTTTTTTTAAATGCAAATATTATGACAGTATACAATTAATGTAATTGCATATTAACTACATGTATATATGCTATACTTATTTAATTATAACACAAACACTGTTATGAAAAAAATATAAGATCCTTTCTGAAAACTCCTCCCTAAATGAGCTCTACTTTGCCTTTGGCAAACCTCACAGGATAAAATGTTAAAATCGTACCAACCGAAGTTTCCTCTAAAATGAACATCAAACATAAAGTTCCAGCACCTGTAAAAATGGCAGCAACAGGACTTAAAGTAAGATTGCATATTGTTTCAATTCTGTCCCACGTGAAACAAACTTGAACTTAACACATTATGACATCACTTCCTGCACCATTACGTTTGGAGGTGGAATGAATAAGAGAAATGTTACTGGCATGGATTCAATGAAAAGAAATAGCGAGAAATTACTAATAAATTGGGTAGCCTGATTGAATGCGCTCCTAAAAAGTCAGATTGCCACACTCCTCTATTCGTTGGGGCTGAGTTATTGTACTTTCATGGCTGAAGGAGTTTTTCTCTAGTGAGAATCAGCCCCTTTACTTAGCAGAGTGAACACTGATCTCTAACAACCTTCAGATAATGTAGCAGAATGTACCGCACTACTTCGCACCTGCACTCTGAATGGGAACCTTCTTTCAATGTAAGATACGCTTGTTGGCCTTGAATCTCAAAGCAGCTGCTTGAATGAGTCGAGCGACCCGTGCTTATTTCGCTTCCTTTGATCTCTGATCTCTCTCTCTCTAATTTGTTCGTATAGTCTTCAACAAGGACTTTCTATTTGCTATTAAAACATTAGAATCTTTAAGGGCCACATGAACAGGATAGATGCCATGCAAAGCAGCACGCTATGTGGGGAGCATCCTGCGCTTCTCTTGTGCGTTTCCACTAAAAAACAGATTGCATGCATTAGTCAGTGAAAGCACATGTCATTGCTGTTTTATTTAACGGCAAGGCACTTAACAGAAGGATGCAAGAGAACATTGCACTCTATAAACATTAAAGCCA